CTCTCTCTCTCTCTCTCTCTCTCTCTCTCTCTCTCTCTCTCTCTGTCTATTGTCCATGTATGTGCATCTTCTTGTGTGGCAGGTTAAGGTGTGTACATGCATACATGGTATGTGTACATGAAAGTGAGAGGAAAACCTTGAGTGCTGTCCTCAGGCACCTTCCGCCTTTTGTTTGAGACAGGGCATTTCATTGGTTCAGAACTTTGCTGTGTAGGCCAGGCTAGCTAGCCCATGAGCTTCTAGGGATCCACCTGTCTCTGCCTCTCACCTTTCCATCTCTAGGATTACAAGTGCACACCACCATGCCCAGCTTTTTATGTGGGTTCTGGAGCTCTGAAGTCAGGTCCTCATGCTTGAAAGACAAATGGCTGAACCATCTCCCCAGCCCTCTTCAATGGATTTTGGTGTATGCCTATTCAAAATACACATACTATACATGCAGCATTTAATTTTAGCTAACAATCTAAAAACAGCAACATGATCTAGTTTTAACAACATGGTGGAATGTATGAAAGGAAATTCTGTCTTTACAGGGAGAACTCAACTGCAGTCCTGAGTGGGTAGGATCCTTTCCAGATGATACTGTTTTCTGAGAACAGGAACCTGTCCATTATCTTTGAACATCTAAATGCCAATGTTGGCATATTTCCTTGCCTTTTTAGAGGAACGGCTTCTACAACTGTAGTGAAAAGGGATGGTCCATGCTCAGAACAACCAGTGTATGTGCCAACAGCCTTGACCTTCAGTGTTGCATGTGGGCTGTGGGGTGCTTCTTGAACCAGAAAGTGTCCCTCAGCCTCTCCCTGAGAAGTGCACACTTGTGGGTGGGATTTTAATGAAATGTTCTACCTAGGGTTGATAGTCTAGAACGACGGCTGTGATGGACTGAGCCGCTTCCCACCGAAAGCTGCTTCTTTTTTTGTGATTAAATTTTCCAGTGATCATCATGACTGTAGATTAACCATGAAATTAGTTTGTGTCCATTTTAGTTTTGGATCCCATAAATAAAAATTGTTACTGAAGAGGCACACACCTGAAATCCCAGCCCTTAGGGTCTGAGGCAACAGGCTGAACCAGGAGTTTGAGGGTAGCCTGGGCTACAGAGTCAGGCTCTACCTTAAAAAAGAGTTGGTAATGAACTTAGAGCTATTGTCTAAGTTCTACTTCCTTGTTTTATTAATTTGTGCACCCTTATCAAGGAAATGCTTATTCTATTGTACACTAACATCATGTCTTCACCTGGTGCTTAGGTGAGTGGTTTCATGAGTGTTTTGCTATGTCTTCTAATTGACTATTGTAGCCCTGTTTCTTTCTTCTCTCCACGTCTCTGTCTCTGTCTCTCTCTGTCTCGCTCTGTCTCTTTCTGTACACGCATGTCTGTGTAGGACCTGAACATTTGGTTGGACTTTAACAAGGGAAGTTGGAATGGGGGTCAAGAAAAGGTAAGATAATATCCCACCTTTTTTCAGGAAGAACTAAACCATTCCGCTGAGCTTGTTCAAATAGTCCTATTTCCTTTATCTCTTGAATTAGTATCCCAGTCATATTTCTGTCCTTTCCATCTCTCTTCAGCACGCTGCATGTGACACAGTGACACCATTTTACCGTCACATCACTCTGGCTGGAGTAACAGGACTTTGCACAGAGCATGTAAAGCCCAAGAATTAACATGGCATTAATTCTTTTTGGAGCACGAATTTTTGTTCATAATAAGTAACTGCAAGGACTATCTTTATATTAGAACAAAGTCAGAGGAGAATATAAATTTTGTAAGCTCTTTAGATGTAAAACACAATATTTCTAAGAGATTTTGCAGTCACAGCAAACACCAGCCTTTCAGGCGGCATACTGGATCCCCTGGCCAATGGCGGTACACATCGATCTGTCACTGGGGACACAGCAGGCTTAGATGAAAAGCGCCATGGGTTATGAGTTGGTCTATAGGTATGTGGGGTAGCAGTATGGGAGAGGGTCCCACAAAGCTTAGTGGAAGGTAGTGCAAATATCAAGCTAGGCCCCAAACATTTTAGAAGTGGAATTATTTGAGAAATAAAACAACAGAGTGCCATATCACCTATTCTAGTTATTGATAAATATTCAGTATTCCTTGGTTTTTAAAAAGTATTTATTTACTCATTTATTTTCTGGTTCTGGGAATTGAACCCACAGCCATACTCATGCTAAGTAGGTCTTTTTACCTCTTACCTCTATCCACAGGCATTTTTAAATAAAAATTTTGAAACAGGTTTTCTTTAAGTTGTCCCGGCTGGCCTTGAACTTATGATCCTCCTGCCTTGCCCTCCTTGAGGAGCAGGCATTGGAGGTGTATGCCACTAGGCTTTGCTCTGCATTCCTCCTTCTATATGTATTGTTTTTATTTAATGTGTATGGGAGTATTGCCTGCATGTATGTAAGTGCACCCGTGTCGTGCAGTGCCTGCAGAGATCAGAAGAGGGCATAGGATTCCCTGGAACTGGAGTTATAGACGGTTGTTTGCTGCCATGTGGGTGCTGGTAATTGAACCGTATCCTCTGCAAGAGCAGCCAGTGTTCAACTGCTGAGCTATCCCTCTAGTTCCTCTACATTCTTTCTTAAGTATCATTTTAAGTATACGGCTTTTGTGATAAGGCTAATCTTCCTGTTCATCTCCTATTTTTCCTTATTTAGCTCTCATATAACATTCCTATACAGCTGGCTTTCATGGTGAACTCTATGGGAAGCTGAACATTTGCCTGAATTGATAGCCAGTACAGAAGCAAGCATCAGGTTGGACAGAGTTTTCCTAAAACCTACAAGTTGCTTTGTCTAACATTTGTCTTTCAGTAGCAAGAGGAACACTGGAACTATGAAGACATATCTAGCCCCTGGACTTAGGGGTGACTTTGGAAGTCAGATCTCATCTCTATTAGTGAATACTTCTTATTATAGAGCAAATAACTAGATTACTTAGGCCTCAGTTTCTTCACTCTAAAGTGAAGAAAAAAGTACTTTTCTCACTGTGTTGTTATGATGTAAAAGAGGGTCTGGAGAGATGATTCAGTGTTTAAGAGCACTGACTGCTCTTACAGAGGATCTGGGTTCGATTTCCAGCACCTACATGGCAGCTAACAACCATCTGTAACTCCAGTTTCGGGGGATCCAATGTCTTCTTCTGTCCTCCATGGGCACTGCATAACACAGGTGCACTTACATACATGCAGGCAATAAACTCATACACATAAAATAAAAATAAATGTCTTTATTTTTTTATATAAAAAAAGAAGCAAAAGAAAGAATGATTGGAAAGGGCTGGTACAAAGAGGCCCTCCACTAATGTCAAGTCATCCCCCAGACCCTTGAGAGATAGCTCACATAGAAATCAGGCACCCTGAATTTGATCTCAGGCTCGTTTCCTTTCAGATATTTCTTCCTGTTCTGTGTGCCACTTTTAAAAATCATTATTCCAGGCCTGGCTGTAAAATGTTCCATTTAACCCTGTCAGTTGACTCAGCTCTTAGTCCTATAACTTTATTTTAGTAGCTTATAAACTTTTATTGTCATAATTCACATTTGGGCCATTTTTCATCTGACATTTCTAGGAGTTGATTGAAGCCAGGAACATCCGTGCAAAAGGGGACAAAGTACAGACTTTAGGTCTAGAAGGAACTGAAAGACAGTTCTCCAAGGCTTGGGTGAGCAAAAAGTTAAAACCCAGGGAGAAAACTGTGGTG